CCTCCCGGGTTCAAGCAATTCTCCTGTGTCAGCCTCCCGGGTGGCTGGGACTACAGGTGCACGTCACCACGCCCAGCTAATTTTTGTATTTTAGTAATGGGGTTTTTTACTATGTTGGCCAGGATGGTCTCGATCTCTTGACCTCATGATCCGCCCGTCTTGGCCTCCCAAAGTGCTGGGATTACAGGTGTGAACCACCATGCCCGGCCAATACAAACAATATTTTCATAGCTTTTGGGTTTATACCAAATGAAAAGGACTCTCTTGATGAGTACCTTTAACTGCCTTTCCTGTGTTAAATTTTTAACAACTTGTTCTGGAAGTCAGTGTACTTAATTCATGAAGGCAAATTTGTCAGTATTTTCACAAAACAAAACTATTCAGCTGTATTTAGAAAGTGAAGTAGCAAGAATTTACATTGTAAAGTTGTGCCATGAAATTGGACTTTGAAACTTTAAAAATGAGAAAAATTTTCACATGTATTTATTCCAAATACCATTTAGGAAACCAGGATCAGAGTGTTTCTGTTGGTGTTGGCATTAACCAGCTGGATGTAAATTCAAAAAGCCAGTCAGTCAGTTTCCTAGTCTAAAAAGTCAGAGGTTTTAGATTAGATTTCTGACATCCCTTCCATTTCTGACCTGTGGTTCTTGTTGCAGTTCTGCTTTGTTATAAACCATTGTTCTAAGGAGTTTGTTGAAAGCACGTAGTTCATTTTATAAAGATTCCCTGCATATAAAGTGATGTCCTACATGTGTGACTTTGTATTAAAAGTATATAGGATCAATATTTTATTTTGAAAAATTTAAAGAAATACGGAGAAGTATAAAATAGAAGTATCAACCACCCAGAAATAACATGTTAATGTTTTGTTACATGTGCCTATTTTTTTTGAAATAAAATGAAGTCAACTAGTATTTGTAGTAAATAAGTTATATATAAATAAATACATGATATTTAATCCTCACAATCTTTTGACATGTGACCATTTCTTGTTTTATAGACAAGGAACTAATGATATGATACACTAACAAGTGGCAAAACAAGGGATTAGGATCTTGGTCTCTTGGACTGTTAAGATTCTTTTTTTTTTTTTTTTTTTTTAAAGACGGGGTTTCACCATACTGGCCAGGCTGGTCTCAAACTCCTGACCTCAGGTGATCCTGCCTTGGCCTCCCAAGGTGCTAGGATTACACCCAGCCTGGACTATTAGATTCTACACTTCCATCTTCTGTTGACTTTGTTAATCAATGGACTGGCTAATGTGAGATAGATCATTATGATGTAAATAAAGTATCCTATTTTAATATTGAGTGCATTTTAAGTACTTATAAAGGCTTCCTGGGAAATAACTGTAATCTGTAAAGACCTGAATGGGTACATGTGTGTAAAGAAAAATCAGGGCAGAAAAGTGCTTTTATCATGGCTCCAGGGACCTTAGCTTCACTTGGTGCTGAGAATCCCTCACACAAGGACATTCTCCTTGCTTCAGCATCGGGATGGAAGCGTTTCCCATCTGGACTTTTTCAAAGGCTCAGCTGGAGGAATCAGACTTCATAATTTCCTGGCAGCTCATGATTCTGCTACACTACACCATGCCATCTCGTGTGAAAGGACAAATTTGATGGAGGACTGCGTCATCCCTCGTGTTTCTTACTGTCTACATTTATTCTAATGGGAAGGAGTGGGCAAAAACAATAATTTGGGTAGTTTTTAGAAAACGTTGTGTTCGTAAATTAGAATAGTGCCATTTTGGCGTTATGAGAAGCATGGATCCATAACTAAGGTTTTGTGTATGTCTACAATGAAATGTGGAAGTGTGTCTCCGGAAGGTTTCCAGTTGCTACCACAAGACCTCCTTGGTATTGTGTGCGTGTGTTGTCCTATTTTTACTTTGTCCTTCTGCAGTTACTTGCTGTGGCACCTTGGAGAAATTAGCCCCCCTTCAGTTTTTTGTATATGTAAAATATATTTGTAATAATCTCATAGTTAATGTGTGACTCAGTCCTTGCCCAAAAGTAAATATGCCTAGCTACCCCTATCTTCCAAAGCCAGAAGGTGAAACTTTAACAAGTTTTCTTTTTTTTTTTTTTTTTTGGCCAGGGGAGGGGGAAAGGGGAGAAAGCAAGAGGGCACTTTAACAAGTTTTCTAAAAGCAAATTGTGTTTTTTAAAGTACGGGTATCATCCAATCCCATATGATTGGTCTGTGTTGGGTGCAGCCTTAGAGTGTAAATTCTTTTGAGTTCTAGACAGAGAATACAGGTTTGGCATTTATTTTTACATGATAAATGCTTCTTTAGGATAGAGCAAATAGCTTGCATATCAAGATCACAATTGTTAGATACTGTTGTCAGTTACGGAGGTTTTCAATGAGGCCTTCTGGAATGATTTAGTTTTCCTGTAAGGGAACCTGTCTATTCAGGTTGCATGCGTTTTATATCTCAGTTTGATACACTGGCTAAGATGATTGTGAATGTCCTAACCCTGTTGATTGTGTCTAGCCACGCATAGGCAAAGAACAGATTATTCCATTATTTATAGTTTTACAAGTTGAAAACATCCGAGTAGGTTACATAATTTATTCTACCACTTTGAATATGATTAGAATATGTCAGTCATGTGCATGCCAAGAAGTTATAGATTTATGCATGTTTTATATTGGTTTGCTTTAGTACCATTCCTAGTTGAATCTTAACATCCATGTCTGGAATCTATACAGAGCAGGTATTACAGTTAGGAAAACTCTTTCAGTCTTCTCTCTTCACCAATATGTTTAATATCTATTGGGTAGTCCTCTGTCCTTTTCCTGGTTTTCCTTAAAGTCTTTTCCTCTAGGCTGTTTGTCCTAGAGGAATGCATCCCATCTTGCAATAGGATGGTTGGTTAGGATTGATGGAAGGAAGGAAGGAAAAGTGTGGATAGGAAGAAAGGGCACGAAAGGTGTGGAGTTTGTATGTGAGTTCTCTAATGGGATCAAAGGTGGGAGGGAGGCAAGCATGGAAGCTTCCCGACATTGCACAACTAATTTCCCCTTCTCTCCCTTTAAAAACTTTTTTCGCCGGGCGTGGGGCTCACGCCTGTAATCGCAAAACTTTGGGAGGCCAAGGCGGGCAGATCACCTGAGGTCTGGAGTTGAGACCAGCCTGGCCAATATGGTGAAACCCCATCTCTACTAAAAATATAAAAATTAGCCGGGCGTGGTGGCAGGCGCCTGTAATTCCAGCTACTCAGGAAGCTGAGGCAGGAGAATTGCTTGAACCCGGAAGGCAGAGGTTGCAGTGAGCCAAGATCATGCCGTTGCACTCCAGCCTGGCGGATGAGAGCGAGACTGAGTTTTTTTTTTAAAAAAAAAAAAACAAAAAAACAGAGTCTCGTTCTGTCGTCAGGCTCCAGGCTGGAGTGCAGTGGCGCAATCTTGGCTCACTGCAACCTCCGCCTCCCAGGATCAAGCAATTCTCCTGCCTCAGCCTTCCGAGTAGCTGGGACTGCAGGTGCGCGCCACCACGACCAGACCAGCTAATTTTGTATTTTTTTTGGTAGAGATGGGGTTTCTCCATGTTGGATGATCTCAATCTCTTGACCTCGTGATCAGCCCGCCTCGGCCTCCCAAAGTGCTGGGAT